TGGTTGCTTCTGATTCAAATGCTGGATTGTTCAAATTCAAGACCAGGTATTGAACAGACTGTTCTAAAGTCCAGCCATTTTCAACAATGCCTTCTATCTCACTTCATCCTTGTTAAGTTGGTATGGGAGTCCTATAGAGACCCAAAGTGGTCTCAAATTCTGAAATGCCAAACTACCACAAAGGTCTTTAGTTCATGCTTCCTTCCCACCGAGTGAAACACTCTAGGAGAGAACTTGGTTGGCACGAGATGTGGAAGTTGACGACATAGAGCCCATTGGCAACAGTTGGAGAAATATTAGTAGTGATAGTATTAATTTTAACACTAAAAAGTGTGACGCTCAAGACACAGCCCTGAGGGACTCCAAGTTCCTGTAGAAAGGAATGGGAAAGAGTTGCACCCACATGGACTTGGAATCGCCTGTTCAGTAAAAGGTTTTGAATAAAAATGGGTAAATGGCCACGTAACCCATAGGAGTGGAGGTCCTGCAAAATGGCGTACCTTCACGTAGTGTCATAAGCCTTCTCGAGATCGAAGAACACAGAAACAACGTGTTCTCTCTTGAGGAGGGCTTTTCTAGTTGACGTTTCAAGTCCAATCGGATGGTCCACAGTGGAGTGCTGTCAACAGAGCCCACACTGGGTAGGCGAGAGGAGCATGTTCGATTTAAGGAACCAAACAAGACAAGCATTAACCATCCTCTCTAAAACCTTACAAAGACAACTAGTCAAAGCAATGGGATGATAATTAGTAGGAATCTTTGGATCCCTTCCAGGTTTAGAGAAGGAGGCAATAGCCTCGCGCCAAGCATCAGGAAAAACATGCTCCTGCCAGATCTGGTTAAAAATAACCAGAAGAAAAGCAAGAGAGGTAGGAGAGAGATGGCGCACCATCTCATAATGAACCTCATCAGGTCCAACTGATGTACTACCAGACCAATGAAGAGCAAGTTTGAGTTCCAACAGTGTAAAGGGCGATTATAGTCAGAGAGACGATCGGCCCAAAAGGAAAGAGGCGATTGCTCTGCCCGAGACTTTATGGCCAAGAAGGCAGGGGAAGAAACAGAAGTGCTAGAAGCACGAGAAAAGATGT